GGCAGGGGAGGATATAGGCCCCAGTGGGGAAGTCACTGCAATGGCTTTGTTAGATGGATGTGATGCACCTGCTAAAGTACCATCCAAGTATTTGTGTTTACGCCCATAAGTTAAGTTACTATAGCAGCCACTGTTTAGATGGTCTTGCTTCTTGCTGTGTTTTTATAGTCAATGGAATCCCACTGAAATGGGCCAACAGCCCATGGAAAACAGATGATGCAGAGATTCGAAAGTTCAGTGCCTTGCCAGAATGAGAGGAAGATCATCCCACACCTATCACCCTCTCCAAGGCTCAGGGACTTTTGTGGAAGAGGTTGGCAGAAAGAATTAAGAGGCAGAGGAAGGGGTGGAGTGTTACTTGACATGTCCTCAGATCATTATGCTGGCAAGCTATAGTAACACCTCCTTCCCAAGTCCATCAAGGAGTCAATAGGGGAGTCAGTTACCCCTCCCACCCAATCAGTAAACCTTAGGTGCTAAAGATAGATGAGCCGAGAACGCCATGAGGCACTTCTCTTGCCATTTTGTGTGGCGGTCAGGAAGTCATAGGATCTATATTTGAGTGTGAACTTTCCAGCACAGCTGTATGGGGGCGGGGCAACCTTCTGTAGGTAAACCCCCACCCTATGCTCTGTTAGCAAGCCCAATAAACTTGTTAGGATTTTCAAAATAAAAAAATTAAAAAAAAAGAACAGAACTAATGGAAATCTTCATTATTCCATCAAAGTTGACCCCATGTTGGCAAATCCTTTGGTCTTTGATTTCTTATGCCTATTTTTCCCTCCTTAAACGTCATGTATATAAATTTTTATGTAACCTCCTTCAAGTTATTTCTGGAAACATGTGTTAAAAATTGCCTCTCTGGAATTAAAAAAAAAAAAAGAATAAGGATAATTTTTAAAAGACAAAAAACAAAAGAAAAAGATAGTCTTAGGGCTGGAGAGACGGCTCAGCAGTTAAGAGCACTGACTGCTCCTGCAGAGGACCCAGGCTCAATTCCTAGCACCCACATGGTGGTTAACAACCATCTGTAGCTCCAGTTCCAGGGGATCTAATGCCTTCATCTTACTTCTGCAGGTACTGCACGACACAGGTGCACTTACACACATGCAGTCAATACACTCAAGCACATAAAATAAAAATAATAAAATATTTTTAAAGGTAGTCTTAACAATAAATGATACTGAGAAACCACAAATAAAAATTCTGACATAATAATCAATACCAAATGACTCACACACATAGATCAAAATGGAAAAGATTTTTTTTAAAAAAGATTACAGGAAGAATTTCTTTTTTAGTTGTTTGTTTTTGCTTTTGAGACAGGGCTAATGAGACCAAGGCTGGCCTTTAATTTCTGCCTCAACCTCCAAGTGCTGAGATTACAAATGTGCACCACCATGCCTGGCTTTTTATAGACAGAATTTCTAAAAATACGAAAGGAAAATGTTCATGATCATCAGGTTAGGAAAAAATTCTTAAGCACACACACACACACACACACACACACACACAAAAAAAAATCACTAATGACAGTTAATGTAATGTAATGACAATTTAATTAATTGAGCCTCGTTAAAACTATAGATATCTGTTCAACAAAGATCTACAAGGAAAGAGAAAAGCCAAGCCACTTTTTTGTACACATTGTACCCTGTCTCCCTAGTCCCAAATTGTATACTTGTCTAAATGACAGCCATATATTAGGAAATGATATGAAAAAGAAGCTGTTTAAGAGTCATTAGGAAGTACAAAATGGAGTCAGTGAAAAGGGCTTAAAACAAGGTCAGTTTTACAGAGATCACAAAACCTGGAGCTTCACACACGACCGGCAGGAGTAGGAAATTTAGGAAAGTATTCAGCACCATCTGCTAAAGCTAACTATGCCTGCCCTGGAACTCAGCAATTCCACTCCTAAGTTTATAATAAACATAACTGAATGTTTATGTCTCATCAAAGACATGTAGTAGAACATTTGTGACAGTGATATTCTTAATGGTTAAAAACCACAATGAACAACATCAGTAATCAACACTAATATGGATAAATAACACATGGTATAGTCATACAAAGGAATACTAGGATATGGGGCCAATGAGATGGCTCAGTGCATAAAGGTACTTGCTGCCAAGCCTGATGGCCTGAGTTCAATAATCAACTCCCACAAGTAACTTCTGACCACACACATGAGCACAAAAGCACATGCACACATATATACTTGTACACATACAAATAAATTAATAGATAAATAAATGTTAAAAAAGGAAAAGGAGGGGCTGGAGAGATAGCTTAGCGGTTAAAAGCACTTTCTGTTCTTGCAGAGGACCTGGGTTCGATTCCAGCACCCACATGGTGGCTAACAACTGTCTGTAACTCCAGTTCAAGGGGATCCCACATCCTCTTCTGACCTCTGTGGGCACTGCATGACACGGGTGCACTTAACACAGATGTAGGCAATACACTCATACACATAAAGTAAGAAATTTTTTTAAAAGTTTTAAAAAAAGGAAAAGGAAAAGAAAGGGTCACTTAAGTACACTGTGGAGTAAGAGCAGCAAAGGGGTAAACAATTCCATTAATATGAAACTAAAGATCAGGTGAACTGATCTATGATAATGAAGGGTCAGCACAAAAGTGGTTTCTACTTAATAGTCAGGATACTATACAATTACACAAAGCAGACTAAAGGAATTCAACTAGGTTTTTACTGTGAATACCAACAGAGTTAAAGTAACTCTACTAATACCAAATGAAGGAAATTTTAAGTAAAAAAAAAGCATCACAGGGCTAATGGAGAACATTCCATCATTAGGAAGACTTGGTTATCAGCAAAAGCTGAAACAAATAAAAGAGGAAAAAGACTCTCTCGGGAAATACTAAACCAAGAAAAAAGAACAAGTGTCAGCAAAAATTAAAAGAAATAAATGAACCCCTTTCTCAAGAAAAAGCAGATCAAGAGAAAAATGGACATTTTCAACAGCAAGATTAATGGATTTTACCTACTTATTAAATGTAATCACACATCACATCACATCTCACCTCTGCTCACATTATAACTCAGTGGGAGAAATATAACCAGAAAATTCTCCAAATATTTAGAAACTGAGAAATGAACTCCTAACTCATGGATATAACATGAAACAAAACAAACTGAAAATGTAAAATCACATTAGAAACCCCAGCAAACAATAATGGAAACATAACATCAGAATGCGCCAGCTATAGGTAAAGCTGCTTGGAGGAAAAACACAATCTGAAATGCCCATATTAAAAGAAGGGCTACAAATCAATGTTCTAAGTTATCTATTTCAGTAAGGTAGAAAAAGAACAGCAAGTTAAAACCCAAGAGAATGAGGAAAATACTAAGCAGCAGCAATTAACTTACAAAATCAAAACTGAAAAGGCTAAAAGTTAGTTCGCCAAAAAGAAATAAAAGTGATAATCCGCTAACAACAAATTTTAAACAAGGGATCAATGGTCACATGAATCAATAAATGATCAATACAGGACTAAGTTCTAAAAATTACATGATGTGAATAAACTCAACAAAACTGACAGACAATAGAAAGTGACATATAATAAAAAAATCTGAGCCATCTTATCTCTATTTAAAAATTCAATACAGTGACTATCTCACCAACTCCAGGTTCAGAAAGCTTCATTCATGAAGCCTTAGAAGCATATATTAAAAAAACAATAACTACCCATAAACTTCCAGAAAACAGCAAAAGAGGGAACACTTTTCCTATGAGAACAGCATAACCAAGGATTCAAAATCTGATGAGAATTTTAGAAATAAGAAAGTTACAGGCTGCTATCTCTCAAAATTAGATGCAAAGATTCTTGTAAATCCACACATATTTTTTTAAAAGCACACCATCTACTGATGCATAATAAGGACAATACACAACCAAACTGAGATAATTTTATAAGTGCAAAGTTATTTTAACATTTGAAATTAACTTGTATAATTCAATACGTTAACCAAGTAAAGGAGGAAATTCGTGTCTCAAAACATGTAGAAAGTATTTTATTAAAACTCAACACATTTCATGATTTTAAAAGTATAAATAACACAATGCCGAAGTATAAAAAAAATTCAGTTTAGTTGCAATTATTTTTATTTTCAACAATTAGAAAATGAAACTTAAGTCATCTAATTAAACTAACCTCAAGAATATCATGCATCTAGGGCTGGAGAGATGGCTCAGCAGTTAAGAACACTGTTCTTGCAGAAGACCTGGGTTTGTATCCCAGCACCCACATGGCAGCTAACAACTAACTGTCCGTAACTCCAGATCCAGGGGCTCCGACAGTCTCTTCTGACCTCCGTGGACATTGCACGACACGGGTGCACTTACTTACATGCAAGCATAACACTCATACACATAAAATAAAAATAATAAAAAATATTTTTACAAAATATCATACATCTAAAATAAACTTGCTGACACATGGATTCCTCTACACTGAATGAAGCCACATATGTATAAAGTCCTAAATAAATGGAGACACAGGCCATGCCCATGGATCAGCTGCCTCAGTATTAAGATTTCAATCATAAACTAATTTCCAGTTTCAATGTAATCCTAGTCCAAAATTCAGCTTTGTCTGTGTGTGTGCTTGCATGTGTGTGTGGGTGTGTGTGTTTAAGTAAATAGAAAAAAAGGATCCTAAAGTCATATGAAAACACAGAGGAGAAGGAAGAGGCTCAGAGCATCTGCACTACGGGACACCCAGGCTTCTTATCAGATAAAGGACTACAAGACAGTGTGGCATCGGCACAAAATGCGGCAAACAGACCAAGAAACAGAAGAGGTACACGTGACAGTGAAGTTTCCCAGAAAACTCCAAGCAGAAATATTTCATGCACAACTGAACACATTTTCTGATCAATCATATCAATTATAGCATCAAGTAAATATTCCAATTAAGTTGTCACCACTGTAGAAAATCCCTTCTAAACCAATTAGCAAACCTATAAAATCTGAATCTCTTACCTCCCCAAATGCTCCTCGACCAATCACCTTTAATATTTCAAAGTCTTCTCTATGTAATCGCATTTGTTTCACTTTAGAAGTAAATGGTTTGGCTGAAACAAAAGAGCAACATCAGTTACTTTCATAATGAAATGTGATACAAATTAGATGTGCAGCTAGATGAGTATTTATTACACAATAAAATTCAAAATGAAAACAAAGCCAAAGAATTTTTTTAAATCTCATCAAACTATATAAGAATGAATTAATTCCTCTAAGAAAGCACTGTTTCCTATAGTCCTTATATACAAATTACTTTGGGGCAGGGTGTTGGGGTTTATTTGGGGGGGGTATCACCCTGTAGCACCAGCTGGCTTGGAACCTACTATACAGACCAGGCTGGCCTCAATCTCAGAGATCCACCTCTGCTTCCCAACTGCTGGGATTTAATATGTGTACCACTATACCTGGTTTATAAATTACATTTTTTATAAGAAATGTATTTTTGCTTGTTTGTTTGAGGCAGGGTCTTAGGTATATAGCCCATGCTGGCCTGCAACTCACTATGTATTCTAGATAAATTTGCAATCCTGCTGCCTCTGACCCTAAGAATGCTGAGATTTATAGGCATACACCACCACACCCACCAAGAAATGTATTTTGTATGTGGTGTGTGTCTGTATATGTGCAGGTGCACGTGTGTGCACATGTAAGACCAGAGTATAATTTCTGGTGTCATAAATGAACTGAACTTCTGAAGAAATCTGTGATGTTCACAACTTATGCTTATACTACATACTTGCAAAGAATCTATATAATAACTGGCAGACTCTAAACCAAACTACTATACATGACAATACTCACTTCCCTTATGCTTTTAGGGTATTAACTACTGTAAAGAAAGGTAATATCTTTTACTTCTTCATAAGACTACTATCCTTTTTAACCTTTGCTAAAATATTTAACAACCATGTGCTTACCAGAATCAAGTTTTAGTTAAGCTGGTTTAAAAAAATGTTTCTTTCAATACCGCTAGGGTATCATGTCTTTTATAAGATGCTGGAAATGAATAAACCTTGTCTTTCAGCAAACAAATCATGTGAAAAATATTTTACTCCATTTAAAACTTTCCAGAATGGTTCACTACAAATTGCTAATAAACAGAAAACATTTTTCACAGTACAATAAATCAGAAATGCAAATTAACCAGGATATTCTATTATTTACCAACTAAATTCAACAAAATTTTGCTTAAAAGTCTGAAACCACTAAGTGTTGGCAAGAATATGACTAACAGGTACTGTTGTGCATAACTGGAGGGGCTGTTAGCTGACTATTATCTCTGACGATTTGGTTTTTCTTTGTCCTAACATGGCATACTACTTAGGTAACCTTCAGAACTCGAACCATTTTTTAACATCTTGAGATAAACCCTTATTTGACTTCATTGTTCTGGGGTGGCTTTTTTTATTTTATTTTATTTTTTGATACACAGCTGAAACTGCTTTGCTTTGATTTCATTTAGAAGTTTGCCTTCTGTGTTCATAAAGTTTGTCTACAATTCTTTTTTCTGTGCTACCTTCATCTGGCCCACCTCATTAATGTGCCTGGTTTTCTCTACTATTCACTGAAAAATCGTCATTGCAGTCTGTTTACAGATGTGTGAAAATTCTGTCAATAAAACCTTCAAAAGACAATACACTTGACCATGATTTGAGTATCTACTAACACACCTGGCATGTGTGTCTTTTCAATGGATTCTGATAATTCATTTCACATTATTGATGTTTTCTGAATCTACATTTAACTATGTTAATCATATTTTCTATGACTTATACATTGCATCAAAATTCAGAATTTTAAGGATCAGGTGACTAATACCATACTTCTGCTTCCAAACCTTTGCCATACGGACAGAATAGATAATCCCTATAGAATGGCTACACTGTTTTTTAATGGACTACTTTCATTGCCTTTCCCTCCCATTATTGTTCAAAGCTTACATAATTTACAACAATTTTTGCAATTATACGGTGCCTACATTAACTGGTCCTTTCTAAATGTCTGTGGATTTTTTTTTTTCTGTTTAAATAGACCTTAACTTGAATTTACATAAAATATCAGCAAAAGAAAGCAGAGGCTAATTATATTGCCCCCCCAAAAATAAAAAAACTAAGCCATTTTCATATTAGCTAAAAGGGACATTATAGCAAAAGGTAATAGGCAGAATAGAGATAAAATGGAGCTATACATAACTATTTTTTTAATATTTTATTTATTATTATTTTATGTGTATGAGTGTATTGCCTGAATGTATGTGAGTGCACCCGTGTTGTGTGATGCCACAGAGGTCAGAAGAGGGCTTCAGATTCCCCTGCAACTCTAGTTAAGGATGGTTCATAGCCGCCATGTGGGTGCTAGGACTCGAACCCGGGTCATCTGAAAGAGCAGTCAGTACTCTTAACCACTGAGCCATCTCTCCAGCCCCATACATAACTATTTTTTTAAGGTTCACCTAACCATGTTATGATTCTAAACATGTATGCACTCAACATAACCTCAAAATATGTAATGCCAATCATTAGAATAATCACAGCTTCCTAGAAAGACACTGTAATACATCTGTCTCTGCAACTGATACATCAAATAGCCAACCAAAAACAATGTATTTGAACAACTCATGTACAGCATTGCAACTACCAGTTGGATAATATTATCTTCAAACACATAGTCAACTCTACATATTTTGAAAACATCAAACCATAAAACTTCTAATAAAATTCAAAATACTGAGAACATTGAAACCAAATGGTATGTATATCATGCAACTAGTGCAAATCAATAAAAGATGACCAGAAATACCCATATGTTCTGAAATTAAAAAGAAGAAATAAATGTCCGGACACCTTTAATCCCAGCACTCGGGAGGCAGAGACAGGTGGATCTCTGTGAGTTCAAGGCCAGCCTGGTCTAAATAGTGGGTTCCAGACCAGCTGGGGCTACAGAAGAGACCCTGCCTTAAAAAGACCAAAAAAAAAAAACAAAAAAAAAGAGGAGGAGGAGATAAGACAATCAGAAACTACTGAGAACTACACAATATAAATTGCTGTCAGACTGTATATGATATAGACTAAGCTAGTACTTACAAAAAGTAAATTAAAATAGAGCATGCAGGGCCAGGTGTGGTGGTGCATGCCTTTAATCCCAGCACTCGGGAGGCAAAGGCAGGTGGATCTCTGTGAGTTCAAGGCTAACCTGGTCTACATAGTGAGTTCCAGGACAGCTGGGGCTATAGGGTCTCCCTGTCTCAAAAAGACCAAAAAATAAAAAATAAAAAAATTTAAAAAGCGGGAAAAAAATAGAGCAATTATAGTAGAAAAGGAGAACTGAAAATGAAGATGGTAAACATACAACAGTGGTCCATGAATGGGGGTGTACACCTACGTAGTCCCAGCTACCTGGGAGACTCAGGTGAAAAATCACTGAGCCATGGAAGACAAAACCAGACTATGCAAGTCAGTCTCTATCTCTGTCTCTCTCTCTCTCTCTCTGTCTCTCTGTCTGTCTCCCTCTCTCTCTCACACACACACACAGCATAAGGAAGAAAGAGAGTGATTGAAATAGTTTAATGTTAAAATAAGCGCCTATGGGAGAGTGCTGATGGGGAAGGGAGTGTAAAGATGATTAAGTTGTGTATGAAATACACAAAAACTCAATAAAAAAATAAAAAAACACAATGGAATGATTTAGCCTGTAAAACAAGGAAGTTCATCCTAGTTTCAGGAATTGTTTAATTCAAAGTCTTGACTATAGCTGCTATCTTTCAGGTGTGGTTCATTCAGGAGCCTTTGTCTCTACCATGAGACTAGAAAAAAGAAAAAAACAGTTTAATGTTAAGTTTCTGCCATATTCTGGTAAGCTCTTTTAGTTCTGCAAAATAAAAGTATTTCTCTCTGGAAAAAAAAAAAAAGCACTTAATAGAAAGTCTTAGGGTTGGAGAGATGGTTCAGTAGTTTAAAAACACTTGCCGCTCTTGCAGAGGACCTTAGGTTGGTTCCCAGCAGCCACATGGCAGCTCACAACCACCTATAATTCCAGGGGTATCTAACCCCTCTGACCTCCATGGGCACTTGCGTTTACACGCATATAGACACACATGCATTATTTAAATTTTAAAGAAAATGTTAAAAGAAAAGTGTAACAAGACCAATAAAGAATGAGTTTTAAAAACTGGGACAAAATTACAAGCAAGTTATGTCAATAAATTTATTCCAACAAATTCTTAGAGTAGCTAATTCTTCAAAACTGAAAATCAAAATTGTTTTACTAAACAATCTTATTTGCTGATAAGATGAATCAGTATTTTGAAGTTTTATACAAACAAAACATTAATAGGGCTAATACTGAACAACAAGTTCCAGTTTTAATAAAACTACACACACCGTAACACACATACTTGAAAGCACTGAAGCAGTCAATGACACACAGGTATACCCAGGAGCAATAAGAATACACAGCATCCAGATGATGGCTTCTATCCATTACTCCTCATCAGAAGACATCCAGGGTCCTGGGAGAAACAGCTAATGTGACCAGCACAACACAATAAGGACAGTGTGTGCCTCCAAATGTGGATGCAGTCGGAAACATACAAAGCATCACTTATGGACTGTATGTCTGCCAAAGATGAATCACCTGAATCTAACCATGAGGAAATAATTGCACAAACTTAAATGGAGGAACAGACTTTACAGAACAGTTGACCTGAGACATGACAAGTCTCAAAGTGTAACAATGATATGAAAGATAAAGTCTGTTGCTCCTGATTAAAAGAGATTAAAGAAAACATGGTAAGCAAATGCAGAGCATAATAATGGATTGGACCTTGTATCAAAAAATTTTAAATGGAGGTTGCTGTGACGATATTTTTGAGGCACTGGTTAAATTTGGATGCATATTAGACAAAATTATTATATGAGGGCTGGCAAGACGGTTCAGCGGGTAAGAGTGCTTTCTGCCAAGCCTGACAATCTGAGTTCAGTTCCCAAAAACCACACCGTGAAAGAAAAGAACGGACTCAACAAACTATCCTCTGACTACCACACAAATGCCA